CTTATAGGTCTTCTGGTCCATCCCTGAAGCTTCCTAGGTCTCTTATGTCCAGAAAAGAGGCATCAAAAAGTTTCTTAGCATTTGAACTCCATTTGGTACAGATTTTCTGTAGAACAGAAAACAAGCAAAAAACAATTGGCACTAGGCACTGAGTTAATAGGTTAGTACCCAAAAATGATATAAAATTGCATATAAATTAGCTAAGATTGATAATATAATAACATGAAACAATAAAAAATTATAGATACGTTGGAGATGTATCAGCATCCCCAAGCTTAATTCCCGCTCGTCCTCGAATGGATAAATGATAAAAATAGACAAATTTGATGCTAAATGCTACCTAACATGTCTATCTTCTAATCTTTTTACGGTATAAATATTGAGAAATTATGAAGTAATTGATATCAACATAATAATGTCCATGAATATAAGAACATAATCATTACATTTTTCAAAATATACGATGCTCAATGAATGTTATCCCTACTCACTGAATTTGTAAGCATGGCATGACTCCGCCTTCGCCGCATTAAGATAAATCATGAGCACCCTGGTGTCAAACCAGGCAATTGGATCATACTTTTTCACATGCTTCGGCATTTTCAACTCCACTCAATACATAATCGTGAGTCATGGACATAGCATTATGGGTGGAATAGAATACGGTGGTTGACATATATAAGGGAAGTCAAAAAGGAAGAAAGTATCGCATCAACTCGGCGGATCGATAGGCAATGGAGAGGCCTTTCAATCATTATCAATGCGAGGAGCAGGGATTGCCATGCAACAGATGCACTAGAGCTATAAGTGTATGAAAGGTCAATAAAAATTAAGGGGGTGTGCATCCAACTTGCTTGCTCATGAAGACCTCGGTCATTTGACGAAGCTCATCATCAAAATATACAAGCCAAGTTCTATAATGAAAAATTCTCACTAGTATATGAAAGTGACAACTCACGAGACTCTCTATATGAAGAACATGATGCTACTTTGAAGCACAAGTGTGGTAAAAGGATAGTAGCACTGTGCATTCTCTTTTTTTCTCTCATTTTTGTTGGGCTCTTTTGGCCTCTATTTTTATTTAAAGTCCGGAACTTCATTCTCATTCTTTGGAGGACTCATTTTTTGTTGGGCTCTTTTGGCCTGATATTAGTTTCCACCATTCTTTACCTCACCGGAACAATGCTTTAATAATGATGATCATCACACTTTTATTTACTTCCAACTTGATAAACTGAAACAACATGACTCTATATGGCAGTGTACCAGGATGTGCAATGATGTAGTGTAACATGTATTACAATGATGAACGGTGGCTTTTTCATGAATATCATGTCAGCTCTATATGATCATGCAAAACAATATAATGATGAACACACATGTCATAAGACGGATCAGTGGAGCTTGCATGGCAATATATGTCATGATAGGTCGGTATGGTGGTTGTTTTGAGAAAGATATAAGGAGGCTTATGTGTGATAGAGTGTATCATATCATGGGTTTGGATGCACTGGTGAAGTTTGCACCAACTCTCGGGATGAGAAGGGGCAATACATGGTACCGAAGAGACTAGCAAGATGCGGAAAGGTCGGGGTGCGTATAGTCCATGAACTCACATTAGTCATAAAGAACTCATATACTTATTGTGAAAGTTTTATTAGCCCTTGAAGCAAAGTACTACTCGCACGCCCCTAGGGAGGAGGTTTGATGTGGCCATAAGTGTAAGAGATACTCACCAGTCTATGTTACAAGTGGGCTCTTTTAGCTTCGATGTGCCACCGATTGAACGGGAGAAGGATGACGTGAAGCCGAACTTCAGGACTCCTCCGAGATCAATATTGGTGTTTCTTCCGTTCGGTGAAATATAGTAGTCCAAAGTTCGTAGAGGAAAGTATTTCTTTTCTTTTAAATTAGGCAGATGCAATCAACGTGGCCGGAGATATTTAGGAGAGATTAATTAGTTTCCTATCCTAGTTAAAGAGTAGGAGTATTAGAAGAGATGTCCACGTACACGCTTAGTTAGGCAGTTGAATAATTGTTTCTCTCTGAGATGTAAAAGGACAGGATCGTACACAAGTTTTGGTTCGAGTCAGTTAGATTTTAGAGTATTTGACGTGTTACGGTTCGGAGTCAGCCTATATAAGACGTGCGTTCGTCTTGTATCTCGGGCTGGTTGAATTTTGAGATTTATACATCTAGTATGAAGCGGCCCTTTGAGAGTTCATTTTGTTTATCTTTGTGAAATTTTCTAATTGAAGATTTTACTTTGGCAAGAGGATTCTAGTACGCACACTGAGAATTTTCTAGCTATTGGCTCAAGGTCCGTCGTCACCGATGGGTTGCGCGTTGGTTACGTCTATTACGATGGGAGGTTCCTCGTGTGTCGAGGGATTATCCGTTGGTCGTCGTCACCCCATTTTCAGATTACGCGTACTGATCGCGTAATTGGGAGATTTTATCGTGGATCTTGTAGGAGTTCGTTGTATCATAAAAGATCGGGTCGGATCAATGGCGCGTTCGAGGTCGTGCCTACATCAAGTGGTATCAGATTACTGGATTTATTACGGTGCAATTTCCTTCCTGTAATTTGTTGGTATAGATTCTCAAATTGTGATGAGGACGGAGTACTACTTCGAAGGTGAGATGTCACGAAGTGAGCAGGAACCATCACGTGCCCTTTCTTGGTTCTATACACGCGGTTGCAAGTGGGAAGAATTACTTGTGCTACAATGATGGATCGTGCTTCAAAGATAAATTTGCCGAGTCAAACCATGGTTGATGCTTTGAAGTTGTCCTTGGTAGGTCATCCTAACCCATACAGGCTCTCATGGTAGGGCAAATTCTTAACTATCAAACATCAAGTACAGGTACGCGTCCGTTTATGTGGATACACTGTTTTTTCGCATCATATGCACGTATGCTCGTTGATTTTGGGCCAACCATGGACAAAAAAGAGGGATCTGCAGATTTATAAATCTGGCACTTTTTCTTTCAAAAAATTTAAGTTTCTCCATGAAAGACGGGCATATTTTGAAACATACAATTCTGAAGAATATTTGAAAGATCATCAGAGGCACGATCATGCACATGTTGCAAAGTCACAGAGAGAGCAACGAGTTGAAGCAAAAAAGTTGAACGTAATTCTTATTGGTAGAAAGTCTACATCTGACCAGTTGAAAACAGAGGGAGAGACAGTACCTACGATTAGGTTAAACATGCAACTCAAAAAGGTACAACAAGATGAAGGAAATAAATTAGAAAAAGGTGAGTCGTCCTAGTCTATTTCAGACGCAATGCAACATAAAGGGTATGTCATGCAAGTTGATTATTGACGGACCTCGTAGTTGCACTAATGCAATCAGCTAGGCATCCCATTGTTAGAGCATCTCTAGTGGATGGTGTATATGGAGGTGGATGCTAAATTTACACTATCAAGATCAAAAAAGCCTTCCCAGTGGATCGTGTATCACGTCGTGCACATATACACGTCGCTACCACGAGCGTACCTGGCGTGGGAGTAAAGACGACCGAGCCACGCTCGTGGGCTCGCGCTCCCGCTCCCAGGACCGAAAAAAAGACTCCCGCTCCCACTCCCGTTCCTCTCCGGCCGCCTCCCCAAGGTCGCCGTCGCCCCTCTCCGGTCGCCGTCGCGTCTCCTCTCCAGCCGCTGCCCAAGGTACCCATTTTTCCCTTCCTCGCGAGCGGGAGCAGAGGGGCGGCGTGGGGCGGCGTGGAGCAGAGGGGCGAGCGGGAGCAGAGGGAGCAGAGGAGCGGTGGGGGGGAGGG